CTTAATTAGAGGGTCCAACCCTTAAAACGGTAGGTTTTCGGATCCACAGGTAGATCTTAAACCCTAAATCCTATAGATCCCTTATGGATCCTTTTAAAGGAACCCCTATGCATCCCTTTAAGGAGCCTTACCCTGAATCAATGGACCTCAACCCTAAAGTCTGGACTCAGCAGTTGGGGATTTGTCGCCAGGAGCGTGCCTTTCAGCTCCACGAGACACTGAAGGCGGTCAGAGAGGAATGTTGGTTTGCAAGGGGCAATACAGCGGCCGAAATCAATACCAATTCTAGAAGAAGGGTTTAGGGTTTAGGGGGTTTAGGGTTTAGGGTTAGGGGTTTAGGGTTTAGGGTTTAGGTTTAAGGACTCCGGTCAAGAGTTCAAGGTTCAGCATTTGGCGGTTTCAGGTTTCAGGCGCTGGGTTGTAGAATGATATAACAGTTCCGTACAAGTCCTACATCCTTGACATGTTGAGGCTGTTGTGCTCCAAGACCATCATATTATGTGGAAGTTCTGCCGCTATGCTGAGCCGTAGGCTTGGGGTTTCAGGTTTTTTTGGGGGGGTTTACAGGAGCGCAGGATTTCGGGTTTCGGGTCGTAGAGTATGTGAGGTCAAGAACTCGCTCGAAAAGGGAATCGAGGTTATGTTGAAGCGTACCTTGCAGCTTCTTGTAATTAGGGTGCTTCACAGCGTACAGAGGGAGGGAACTCTTTCTAGTCCCCACAGTTGTTTGCTGTTGATGTCTTCCGGAAGTTTTAGACAACCCGATAATCTGATCGTCAATCCGGAAGACCCTGCTACTTTGAAGAAGCTTTATCACCCAGGGTCTTACCCTAAACCCTAAACTTAAAGTTTGAGACCTAGTTTGCGGGAGTGGCTTTAGAGGTGGGCCTGTCGAGATGTGCGATGAGGCAGGGGCCTGCGAGGGTCTGGTGATTGAGGTGGTTTTCCTACTTGGAGGATCGTGGGACTTAGTAAGTAGGGTTATGAGTACCTTCAATGGGGTTATAAGTAATTATAAGTGTAGTTACCTTACTTCTAACCCCAATTACTACGTCCCATGATCCTTTAAGTATCCTTTGCATTGTACTTCCTGTTTTGGGTTAGCCACTTTGTGGTTAGGAGACCAAAAGCTTGGGTAGCAGAAAAGGGAAGGAGTAATGGAGACTCAGGCAGGGTTTAGGGCAAGTGTAGGGCTCACGGTTTTCCCGTTGTACGGTTTGGGATGTACTAACCCTAAGGGTCCGAGCACCTAATGATCATATACTCTCCCAAATGGGAACCTACAGAACTACTATCCTAGCTAACTATTGGGTCCTTTGGACCCTTAGGGTAATGGTATTTGGGAGTTTCCGAAAATTCGGGGTACCTTATTTAGGGATCCTTATAATAAGGATCCTACCATGTAGGGTACTATATTAGGGTCCCCTATTTTCGGAAACTCCCATTTTCAGGGTGTCCTTAGCAACATAATCATAGAATAGAAACATTTCGGGCCCACAGGACCTAATAATTAGGTAACTGCTCAGAGAGCCCAATACACCTTAATTGAGGAATATAGCTTAACTCATAGTATGAAGCCCTATATAATTTAAGCCATATTCCTTAATTAAGGGGTATTGGGCTCTCTGGGTGACGGGCTTGGTAGTTTTGTAGGTTAGAGTTTAGGAAAGTATATGAGGTTTAGGTGTTTCGACTTGGACCCTTAGGCCAGCAAGGTCTGAGACCTGATCTGGCTTCTTGCTGAGAATTTGCTTTAAGTTGCCATAATAGGAATCACCAGAAATCAATAGGGTCTTTTTATATTATGCTACCTTAAACACTCAAATTCCTGTGCAGGGTTTTAGGGCCGAGGTAACCGTGACATTTGGGGCTAAACCCTAAACCCTAAACCCCTGTAAGCCCGAGCGTATTGGCAGGTAAAAATCAAGAGCCACAGATATCCTCCAGACCGGCCGCCTCGTTACCATGTCTCTCAGATACGCTCGTTGGAGCTCAGAGTCGTAAGAGGCCGCCATTCGGACCAAGCTGTGGTGGAGCTTCCGTGCGCACAGCTCGACAGAGCTTTGGATTGCTTGCTGCATCGGACTGAAGTGGCGACAGGACCTCTTGCCGGTCACAATCAAGTCATGTTGGCAAAAGCGCAACCGCACCCTTGCACTGCTGTGTATGAGGCTATTTTCTTTGTTCTAAAAGGGCCAGAGTGTGTGATGTTGATCTTCGACACTCGCCACCTTGCTCCCACTCCCACTGGATTTTTGTTTTCGGTTAGAAGCCCATACGGCATGAGCTGTGAGGCCACCGTTGCGCCGGCAATCCTCAGTGGCGGCTGGACACTATACATCAACGGTGCTCCAGCATCACCAAAAATCATGCTGTGCAGTGGGACCAGCTTAGCAGTTTCGAGGAGTTACGCAAGCTTCGCCCGGACACATTGGCAGACATTTGCCAGAGAAACGAGGCCAGGCTGGATCGACACCGTCGTGAACATCTGAAAGAAAAGACAGACTTTCGGCGACAAGGGTGAACTTCGCCACGGCTGATGAATCCCATACCGCACGGATAAACCGCCCTTCATCCTTGCAAAGAAGCATAGGCATAGTTAAACTGATTCATCTAGCTTGCCTACATCGTCTGAATCAAGAGTGCTACCGGTACTTATTTAGTCTAACATGAGTCAAAGATGCAGTCACGTGCCTAAAGTCCTGCAAAACGATATGGGAAACCCCAAAAGGATACAGAAGGGACTGCCGCTCTGAAAAAGATACCCCTTCTGCAGGGCCTGCTTCTTGGAACAATAATCTTGCCGCGGGTTCATATACATATCTGTTTATTATTGTCATAGTGTATAATAATATTGTATTGTATTATACTGTACATGTATGTACATATGTATTTATATATGCAAAAACCCAGTCCTGTTGGAACTATCAACGCTGTTAATGCGCAGGCTCCTGAACTCGGTGCTCAATAATTTGGGTGGAGATGGAACCGGAACCTAAATGCCCGGCCTCGGCCCAAGCCCAGAACCCTAAATGCCCTAAACCTTCAAAACCCCTAGTTATATCCTGTCGGCCAGGAGCCAAATACATCTCCGAAACTTCCCCCTACCCCCCCCCTTCTCTTCGTGTTTTGTTATGTGCTGTGTCATATTGCACAACCCACGGAGACCTTTCTGGCATCCATGGGCACCTAGCTTAACCCTACATAAACCCTAAACCGTGCATGGCTGAAGACTCTTCGCTTTGGTTTGGGAGCGGCTTGCATGAAAAGCTGGCTGTCTAACCCCAAGTCCTACACCTAAACCGTTTAGTAAACCGAAAGGAAGGTTACCTAACGCAAACCCTGCACCCCAAACCGAATAGCAAGCTATCTACCCTTCAACCCTACACCGAAACACAAACCACCTCACACTCAACCCTATACCGAAAAGCAGGCTAAGCTAACACTTAGCCGGACACCCTGAATTGAAAAGCAGGCTATCTAACATGCCATTCGGCTTCTGCAACGCTCCGAGCATCCGACGTGTGACCTCAGCGTGCGCCGGTGCTTTTGTTATTGTGTTGGAGGGGACTGGGTCTAGGGTTTTGGTTTTGGGTTTCGGGAGGGCGTCATCGGGTATTGCAAGGTGGCTTACAGTTGAAATCACTAAAAGTTGTCGTTTTTTCTCAGGCATGTGCAGGGGTGTGCAAGGGTTTCACGTTGAGGGTTTTAGTAGATTCGGGAACCCTAATCCCTAAACCTCTTTGGGTTGAGGGTTCAGCGTTTGGGGCTTTCGGGGTTTACTCGTGGGGTGTGAGAGTTCCAGCTTGTAGCCCCAAGGATGCCATGTCCCTATAGTTCCTATGTGTTTGTTGGGAGTCCTTGTTTTGAGGATAGTCAGAGACTCCAATACTCCTTAGTCACGGAATATACCTTAAATTATGGTAGGATCCCCAATATGATTTAAGGTACATTCCTTTGGGAATCGTCTTCTTCGGTTGCACACCTATGGAAGCCCGAGAGGCCTCCACCCCCCCGCCCCCCCCCCCCCCCACCCCACACGCACCCAAGCATCTGAAGCGGTATAGTCAGCCCCGTAAGTTGGAAACCGGGTCAAGGCCAAATAGTGCTGGGATTCCCGCTATGCATTCCTTTTAATTTAAGGATTGAGGCGATACAGTTTCCAACTTTTGGGCTTCTACTGTACTGTGAACCTCACCATCTCCCAGGACTGTGCAAGACGTTTACGAGCCAGTTGCCGTCTCTGAGCCGTGACAGCACTCGCCGTAGTTGCGGACCAGAAGCCAATTGCAGAGGATCCAAAGTACCTACATAGTACAGAGTAAGGGTTCTATAGTAGGAATTACTATAATGGTTTGAGTGAGTATCCACCGTATAGCCATATGTGTACCCAGCACCCTTTGGGATTGAATATGCGCGGTCGAGAGAAAGCAGAGTGTAAACGATCTGGCTACTCACCCAGTAGAACTATCCCCTCCCTACCGATTTCTATCAGTATGAGAACAGGAATGCTGCTATGCCAGCCTCAGTAAACCCGAAGCCTTGGGGGGAACCTTGGCCCCACAACTGTAGTTACATTACTTATAACCCCAGTTACTAAGTCCCATGATCCTTCAAAAAAACATCCACACCAGAATCCTAAGGGTCCAGGCGCCTAGATAGTAGAGCTTTAGGAGAGGATGGAACTCGGGACCTAAAGTCAAACAATTTAGGTACCCGCACCCTCTGAGTACGGTGCCGTAGAGACTCTAATTTCCTTAGGAATCACATTGTCGGAATTCGTTCATATAAAAAGAAAGAGAATATTGAAAATAGTTTTTGCTATCATGGATCTAAGTGGGGGTTATAGGAGACTCCATGGAAAGCCTACGAAGCCTTAGTACCTGAGTGGATACACTTTACACTTGTTGGGATAATAGTACCCACTATAATACTAGACTTTTGGGGGCTTATGAACTCAGCAACTCAGAAGCCTTGGCTGACCGCCTCGGCAAGCTGCCATGGGCACCTGTCTTCGCTGGACAGCCCTTTGTCTCCTGGCAGTCGAGGCGCTGTTCTTCAGGGGTTTAGGGTTTATAGGTTTAGGGGTTTAGGGTTCAAGGGTTTTGGATTTAGGGTTTTAGAGTTCAAGCGTTTTGGATGTAGGGTTTTAGGGCTCAAGGGTTTAGGGTTTAGGGGCTTTGTTTGTTGATGGTCTGACGGATGTAGGACGCTGGATCTAGGGTTTTGGAATCGGGGTGTGGTTTGCGTTTCAGATTTCAGGCATGAAGACTTGCTTCGGGGTTTGGTGTGGATCCCCAAGGGTCATAAGGACCCAATAATTAGGTACTCGGGTTTGGGATAGTAGTTATGTAGGATACTAGTTTTGAGAGTATATGATAAGTGGGTACTTGGACCCTTAGGGGGTTGTATCTTTGGCATACCATCGCTCGAGGCTGCCGAACACACACACACACACACACACACACACACACACACACACACACACACACACACACACACACACACACACACACACACACACACACACACACACACACACACACACACACACACAGAGACAGAGTGCATAGAATCCTTACAAGCCCTCTCAAAGAGAGACCCCTAAGGGTCCAAATAGTCCTCAGTCATGGTTCTTGGTACCCAAAAGGCCCCAAAGTCCGATAATGAGGAGTACTTTGGACTTTTACTCGGAGGGGCAGGGGACTTAGTAAGTAGGTTTTAAGTAGGGTGAAATAATTGGGGTAGCTCCATTTCGGGTACTTATAACGCTACTTATGACCTACTAACTACGTCCCCTGCCCCTCCAAGCAGACCCTATAAACCCTAAACCCCATAGACCCCTTTAAGGAACACTATAGATCCCTTTAAGAAGCCCTTTACGAGAGCCCTTACTAAGTCCCCCTTTCAAGTCCTTATCAACTCGCACCGCTCCCGGTGGCTCCGGTGCAGGTGTCGCAGGGAGCAGAGCCTGGTGAGGGCAGCTTGGACCTCTAGGGTTTAGGGTTTAGGGGTCTAGGGTTTAGGGTTTAAGGGCTTAGGGGTTTAGGGTTTAGGGTCTAGGATCTCTGGGGTTTAGGGGTTTAGATGTTTAGGGGTTTAGGTCTAGGGTTTGGCGTATAGGGGTTAAGGGTTTTGGGGTTTAGGGTTTTGGGGTTTAGGGTTTTGGGGTTATGGGTTTAGGGGTTCAGGGTTTAGGGCTTTAGGTTCTAGAATTTTAGGGGTTTAGGGCTTATGGGTCTATGGTTTAGGGGTGAAGGTGTTAGGGGTCTAGGGTTTTGGGTTTCGGGGCTTAGGGGTTTAGGGTTTAGGGGTAATTTTCGGATTTAGGGGTTTAGGGGCTCAGGGTTTAGGGGTTTAGGGTTTGGGGTCTATAGCTCAGCACATGTAGGGTCTAAGGCTCTTCAAGGGTCATGTGGCCCTTTCTCATGTTTTTTTTTTACAAGGGTTCCTTTCGAGGCTTCGTTTTCAGCTTATGCTTCGTTTTCAGCTTATTCGCAGAGGGGATACACTTTACAGTTTGTGTGGGATAATTTTACCCACTATAAAACTGAAAGTGTACACGTCTTGGGGCTTATTGCATTTTTTGGATAATATTACCCACTATAAAACTACTGAAAGTATGCCCTTTTCTGGGGCTTATGAGCTCAGCAACTAGGTATAGGGGTTTGGGGTTTAGGGTTGAGAGCCTCATACCCCTACAACCCTAAATGGGAACTAAGTCAGGCTGCGTTTTCAGAGGGGTTCATTTCAAGGCCAGAGTTTAGCGTTGCAGGGTTTAGGCTGAGGGTTGCTGAGGCTTGATTTTAGCAATCCATGACTTTTGAGTATAGTATGGGAGTTTCCGAAAATTGGGGGTACCTTATTTTGGGGCCCTTGTAATAGGGATCCTCGTATTCAGAGTACTATATTAGGGTCCCCTATTTTCCGAAACCGTGTATAGTCTGGGGGTATACGGTCTGCAGGGCCTTGGCCCTAACCACCCTCGAGAGGGACGCTGTTGCCCCGGGTTCGTTGCCGGACGAGTGGATCGCCCACCTGTGCGAGAAGGCGGATGCGAAACGCTCCACCGGGGTAAGTCTGACAGTGCCAGAAATCTACCAGAACCTGGTGATCTTCATGGCCATCAGAATCAGAATGGTGAGAGGATTGGAATTGAGCGCCTTCCTTATGGAAAAGGAGGCGAAAACGGCGGCACGAGCCGTATACGGACAGGCCTTCGATGCGGGCTTTACACGGAAGCCTTGGCCATCACTCAGGGACTTCTCACGCTCAAGAGGAAAGACCTTTCCGAGACGAACAAGTCCTATGCAGACTCCATTCTGTACATGTCTGGAACAATGCAGACGGATGCCCTGCTTATCCTCGCTGCCTGTGAAAGAAGACCGAGGGTTTGAGCCCTAAACCCTAAACCCTCGCAAGCTTCTCTGCGAACAACCAACCAAGTCACTCGGGTATAAGCATCTCCAAAACTACAGGGTTAGACTCGGCAGTATGTTAAGATCCATATGAGTAAGTAGTATACAGACTCCTCAACCCTGAAAAACCTTCTCTTAAGCAAAGATCTTCTAGAATTCCAAGAAGTGCCGAAGTGTATCAGCCTTACTTGGAGGATCATGGGACTGAGTAATTGGGGTTATAAGTAAGGTAACTACAGTTATAATTAGTTATATCCCCAATTAAGGTACTTATAGCCCTACTTACTAAGTCCCATGATCCTTTAAGTAGACCCTAAACCCTAAATCCTTATAGTCCCCCCTATAGATCCCTTAAAGGGACCCTACTTACTAAGTCCCATGATCCTCCAAGTACTCGAACTCTTAAAGCCCCTGCGGCCCCAGCGTGAAGGCTCGGAGTGTGGGTTGCTGCAAGGTTAATAAGGATTATACTAGGGCCCTATTAGATTCCTAGTATACCACTATTACAGGGTGGGGGCCCCTTCTAACAAAGACTGTCTGGGTAGGCCTTTGGGACATTTTATATTTTCCCTTCTTGAGCTTAATAGGAGCCATTTTTACGAATATTTTGCAGAGGCTTTAAAGGGCCAACCTAGGCTCTTGTGCCACCAATGCAGCGAAGGCAGCCGCTCGGACGCAAGAGTGCTTAATTTGGGGAGCTCAGGGTTTGGAGTTCAGGGGTTAAGGCTGAATAAATGCCAACACTAGCCCTTACAGCCAAGGTCCTAAACCTTAACCCTATAACGTACCCTTAACCCTAAACCCTGCCTTAAATCCTAAACCCTAAACCCCCTAAACCCCAAACCCTAAACCCATATTAACATATCATGTCTCCGGCTTTGCTTGGAGAGCTGGGGGGTTGAGGGTTTCGTTGAGGGCGCCCGTGTTCCCAACTCCATCTCTCACAAAGAAACCTAGTTGTCAGAGTTCTAAGAGGTCAGGGTTTAGGGTCTGGGGTTTAGTTTCGGACCGCTAACATCTTACACCCATGAGCTCGCATATTTCTTCGATTAGGTTCCCGGTCACAGACGCGACCTTCTGCAGAGCTTCGTAGGCGACGCTGCCGCTTGGCAAGTTGGGGACAGTGTGGGACTCCGTATATATATATATATATATGTATATATGTATATTTATATATATATATATATACATACATACAGATGTTTACCTGTAGATGTTTTTTTTGTGGGCTTGGGGTCTTGGGTTTAGTGGGTTGAGGGTGTCGTACTTCTCACAACCCAGAAAGTTTTGAGGTGCCCCTAAAGCAACCCTTGCAGAACCTTCAGACCCACCCCTAAAAACAAAACATAAACGCCAACCTAAATTTAAATCGTAAGTCTCAAACCCTAACTACCGCTCCTTTCAACAAAAAACAATCTCTGAGCCTCAAAACCTTGAAGCGCCCCTATAGCAGCCCCGTTGCAGGAAAGAAAGTTTTGGTACACTAGGAACCAAAACACCAAATTATCCCGCTGACCCCCCAAACTTTAACCCCACAAACCTCATAAATCCTGTATGCTGAAAACCGAAACCCCAAACCCTACCTCTTCGGGACTTTCTGGGCATCGGAGAAAAGGAGCTCCAAAAAAAGAATAACCACCCTAAGCCCTAAACTCTAAACCCCTAAACCCTAGACCCCTAAACCCCTAAACCCTAAAGCTTTAGGTGGAGCTCCTGGAGCTGGCTGGTCATGGAGAGGAAGGCTCAAGGGGGGGCTGCCTTTAGGGTTTGGGGCTTTGGGGTTTAGGGCTTTTAGGGTTTAGGGTTTAGGGCTTTTAGGGTGTAGGGCCTTTAGGGCCTTTAGGTGTAGGGGTTTCGGGTGTTTAATTAGTTTGAGATGAGGATTTAGGGTATATTTCGTTTAGGTCTAGGGTTTAGAGCTTTAGGGTTTAGGGCTTTCGGCTAGGGCTGGGTTTATCTAGGGTTTACGCTCTGGGTGCCGTCTTAATTGAGCGGGCCATGATTTCATACCAGCCCTGGTAGACACCGTTTTTTTGCTAAGTGCAAACCTGCCTTGAAACCCTTAAGGAACCGTATATTTAAAGCCTTTTCAAACCCTGAGAAAGGAACCTTATGCAGGCCCCACAATGGCCATCAAAACCCGAAATCCTTCATAGAACCCTTATCAAGGACCCACATAAGAACAATACCTTGTCAAGTGCCATCATAGCAGCCCCGATGATACTAATACCTGAAATCGCTTCTTGCAGCCATTATGGACCCCTTCATGAGGAACCCTGAGAAGAAAACCCGATAGACGAAATTCTGAACCCTTGAACAAACCCGTCCGGAAGCCCCTGAGGAAAAGCTTGCAGAAACTCTTCGAACTAATCCTAAACCCCTAAACCCCAAAACCCCTAAAGCCTAAACCCCCAAACCCCAAAAACCCAAACCCCTAAACCCTAAGCCCCTAAACGCTAAACCCTGAACCCCTAAGCCCCTAAACCCCTAGACCCTAAACCCTAAACCCTAAACCCCTAAACCCCGAAATCCTAAGCCCAAACCGAGGCTACGTCTGGCGTGGTCGACTGGCGCGGTCTGGCCAGGAGGTTTCTAGACAACCGGATCTCAGGGGGTTTAGGGTTTTTAGGGTGTAGGGTTTGGGGTTTAGGGTTTAGGGTTTGGGTTTTGGGGTTTAGGGTTTAGGCTTTGGGGTTTAGGGTTTGGGGTTTGGGGTTTAGGGTTTAGGCTTTGGGGTTTAGGGTTTAGGGTCTCGGGTGTGGGGTTTACAAGCTTGAAGGGCCTTAGGGTTTACCTAGACCCACCAACTACCCTTCATCGTAGCCCCAAATTAAACCTCTGAGAAATATTAGAGCCCTTTACAGCGTGCCTCGGGGGTTCTGGTAGAGCTTACGGCTTACAGGGTTTAGGGTTTAGGGTCAAGCTTTTAGGTTCATGGGTTAGGGTTCACGGTGTAGGGGAAATCGTGACAGCCGGTCGCATGTAGGGGCTTGAAGGTTGCTATAATAAGGGTTCCTTTCCACAGTTCCGGTTAGGCGGGTCTATAGTCTAGGCCGCATAGTGTGAACAAGAGATCCAAAATGGTTCCCAGGATTATCCTAAACCCTAAACCCTAAAAGCTGTAAAGGTTCCTAGCAGCGTGTTAACGGTTCAAATCGGCTAAGAACTTGGCACTTGCATTTCGGATAGTAGTACTGTAGGCTAGTATCTATATTTGCGGCGAGTGTTTGATTGGTCGGTGCTTAAGCTTAAACCCTTAGAGGAGGCTTGATAGCTTTCCGTGCGGGGTTTCTCAAGGGCTTGCGAGAAGGACCCCACCTGAGATTTTGAGTTTATTGACCCAGAGAAGCCGCGTTGTGACTTTGATTTGACCAGGTTGCAGTGAAGTTCCGCTGCGATCAAGACGAATGCCAAGGTGAAACAGTGAGCTTACGAGGCGAGACCATGCCGTCATCAGGTTTAGGGTTTCAGTTGGGCTTGAGGGTTATAGGCTTATGATTTCAGGGTTGGGGTTTTAGGGTTGATGGGCTCGGGTTGCTAATGTCTCTCATCGACTTGTGTGTTAGCCTCGTGACATGCAACGTAAGATCCATGTCGCAGTGATTGAACGGGGCTGTGGGGCTTTATAGTTTCATGGGGCCATAAGGAGCCATGGGACTCGAGTAATTACAGCTGTTCATGGACCCTGTATGAGTGCTTTTGAATTTGGGGATAGGGGGACACTTAGGGTTCAGTTTGCCTTCGTTTGGTGCTGCCGGGATAGGTCTTGAGGATTCTCGGTAGTTGCTGCAGCCTCAGCCACATTTACACAGCCAAAAAGTAAGACCCACAAAACCAGACTCAAAGGCTCACAGCCATTGTCGCAGTTCATATTCATATGTCGTCTTCACGAAGTAGCCAAGGCTTTTCTTCAGAGGGCCGGGGTGGTTTTCGTTCTATCTCCAGACGCTGTCTCAGCCGATTTGCAGGTGCAACTGGAGTGAAGGATCCCTGGGTGGCCAATTGCAGTACTAATAATTGTTACTCGCTCCGTGTTGTCTTTGCATGCATACATTTCATGCATGCATACATGCATACATACATACATACATACACACACAGAGGTGTGTTTATCACTAACACACCTGGAAGTGCCAGATACAGCTGCACCCTGAGGTCATGCCCACGAGCTGTTGCACGAATGCCACGCGGCCCGGTTTTGCGGTCTTGGCTGCCCTTGAAGCACTTGGAGGGGCAGGGGACTAAGTAAGTAGGTTATAAGTAGGGTTATAATTGGGGTAACTCCATTTAGGGTACTTATAACTCTACATATAACCCTACTTATTAAGTCCCCTGCCCCTCCAAGTAGACCCTAAACCCTAAACCCCATAGATCCCTTTAAGGAACCCTATAGATCCCTTTACGGTCTCTAGCAAACTTTAGCGCTGTCGGGCTTGGGCGACGCCAGGGTTTACCTTAATCCCAAATAACCTAGCTTTTATTAAGGACTTAGATAAGGAACTCATATTAGGGAACCCTGAAAAACGTAGGTTCCTTAGGGTCCAGGTTGGGCTTTGAGGTTTACTTCGTTAAGGTGTTGGCTTGCCGAGTTTCGTGTTCAGGTCTTGAAGATTTCGGGATTGGGAGTTCTTGGGTACTAAAGCCGGGCACGCATCAGTTTACGGTGTAGTGTGGCATGCAGTTGGTCCGTGAATTCTGATAGGTTCGAGGGCTGTAGACCCTACTTGGAGGATCATTGGACTTAGTAAGTAGGGTTTTATAAGTACCTAAAATGGGGATATAACTAATAATAGCTGTAGTTACCTTATAACCCCAATTACTAAGTCCCATGATCCTTCAAGTAGACTTTGGCCCGAAACCCTAAACACCAAACTGCCGCGAGACTTTGCGCAAGTTGTCGGCTCAGGGTGCCGCGTGAAATGTTCCTCTACCCCAAGGGTCCAAAGGACACAATAATTAGGTACCCGGGTTTGGGATAGTAGTCATGTAGATTAATATTTTTGAGAGTAGATGATAATTGGGTACTTGGACCCTTGCCCTCATGATTAGAATAGGAATCCCTTTAAAGTTGTCCTTTTAAAGGGGTCTATAAGGCCTACTATAAAGGATCTATACCTTAAGCCGGAATAACTTACCTTTTTAAGGACTTATATAAGGAAATCATAATAAGGAACCCTAAAAAGGTAGGTTATTCCGGCTTAAGGTAGGGACTTGGACCCTTAGGGCTAGTGTCGCTACATCCCTGTTTTCAACTCAGGGCTCTGGTGGCCTAAAGAGAAGGTTACCTAGAGGCTCATACCTTACCCCTGTTTTAAGGGTACCTGATTTTCTATATATATATATACATACATACATATATATCTGTATGTATGTATATATATATATAGATAGATAGATAAAACAGATCCTAACCATAAAACTAAGTATCCTAAAAAAGGGGTAGGGTGTGACCCTCTAGGTACTAGCCATCTACTATGCAACCCACTACTAACCCATTGTTCAAGGAACCGGAGCCCTAGGGACAGTTCCGTGGCGATCTGCGCTAGCCATGCCTGCACGGCGCCCTTTCAAGCACTCCTTGTCCAGGAAGAAGTCGAAGGTTTTGTCTGCCTGTGTCATCGTATGTGCTCTCGGGCTCAGTAGCCCTTTGCACGGGCTTTGTCCGAGAGCCATGCTTGGCCTGGGTGGTGGTTGGGAGGGCGGCACAGGTGTCCATACTGGTTTCAATCCCCTCCACGACAAAGCTGCAGCATACTCAGAACACTATGCGGAGCTAACTTTCTTTGGCCTCTTTAATCTGGGCGTTTGCAAGGGCCTTGAAGCAGGACTTGGAACGCATGATACTTATGCAGGGTGCTACCTGGAGCTTGCGTTTGGTCCCTGGCGGGTCGGCTTAGAGGGCGGTGTCAGCACCGATGGGCCCTATGCTGGAGGATTTGGTGCCGCTGCCCACTCTCTGGGGGCTGAATGGCCGAAGTAATTTACCAAGTTTCAATACATTGCATGCTCATTGATGTACAGTACAGAAAGGGCTGATGCCTGACAGAACAAGTCGCACACTTCGAGGCGCATGTTATTGCTGTCGTTTGAGTTGGCATGCCCGCTTTGATCCGGACCTGCTGAGTGGCAACTCAACATCTGGCATTGCATCTGTCGATGTCGTAGGTCGAAGGCAATGTCGCCAACTGACCGGTATATGCCAAATCGTGATGCAACTCTTGTGTGTGTGTGTGTCTCAACAGCTGCCTTGCAAGGAACTACCCACTGACCGATATAGTAGAAGACAGAAAGTTGGAACATGGATTTGGGACGATGAGTGCCAATATCCCTTATGCTTTACCTCAAGGGCATGAGGATAATGATGTTCCAAGTTTCTGGCTTCTACTATGCACCCTGAGGCCCTTTGGCCTAGGCAGAGCCGAGAGCCCTCAACCAACGGTTTAGGGTTTAGGGTTTAGGGTTTAGGGGTTTAGGGTTTAGGGGTTTAGGGTTTAGGGTTTAGGGCCTAAAGCCGTTTGATGGTTGCTATTGCGACCATTGCAAACCCAAACTTTGCCGCTCAGGGTTCTCCAAATCCAAGAGTTTCCTGATTCCTACAGGGTTTGGGCAATTGAGGGGTTTCGGGGTCATGAAGTGTTGCCTTTTCTCTCCGGGCGACCAACATTGAATTTGTTGGTACGGGCTTTGTTTGGTTGGGGATAGAATTTGCGCACATTCAGCTTTGCAGAACTAGGATGCCCAGTAGTACCCTTATTCCCTTTTTGTAGTCCTACATAGGTTCCCTATAAAGTTACCCAATACCAAAAAAGGAGCCCTTTTTATTCCTAGGTTACTGGGCATCCTAGAGAACAAGGGCCAGCCCGGAACCCACCGACTGTAGCCTCGACCCTGAACCCTCTATACCAGGACACTCCTTGTACCCTCAATTAGGGGTATATGGTTCCAAATAAGGGGCACTTCGGGTCTAATAGAGGGTAGTTGGAGCGTCTAGGTATACCCGCGGGAATTCCGGGATTTTCAGTTTGCTGCACCCTCAACCCTGAACCCCGAGGCCACGGTCACCCTAAACCCCGAGGCCACGGGAACCCTAAGCCCCGAGGCTACGCGGGCAGCGAGGCTTTCCGCCGTGCCCCGCAGTACGTCTCGGGCTGCTTCGAGGAGTTTCCCTTAGGGTCCATGTGCCCATTAAGAGGCTCAAAATAGCCAAAAAGCCTTATGTAGTATGACCCTTGGGCACAAAAGCCTCAAAATATGAGTCGTTAGGGCCTACAAGGGAAACAGATCATACGAGTTATGAGCGGGCCTTGTGTTTACCATAATTAAGGTATAGGGGTACTGGACCTATGACAACAAACTGGGCCACAGTGGTCCCTACATAAGCAATTAGGAGCATCGTTTCTATTATAGGGGTAGATGGAGCCTTGGAGTTTACAGGTTGAAGGCATCGAACTTGGAGTACAGTTTTACCTGGGTTGTTTGGGGTTTAAGGGTTTGGGGTTTCATTAGGGCTTGAGAGCGTCATGCTTTTGGCTCTAGGATTGAATCTATAAAGGTTTGCATCTTGATCCTAGATCTTTGAGCCCCAAGCCTTACTCTGATCTTCTGGAAGCCTTTAACTGTTCTGTTCTTGAAACTGGAGTATACACAAGAAAAACCCTAAGGGTCCAAGTACCCAATTATCATATCCTCTCAAAAATAGTAACCTACATAACTTCTATCCCAAACCCGAGTACCTAATTATTGGGTCCTTTGGACCCTTGTGGAAAGTTCAAGAAATGAAGCTTCTGCCGTAAGAAGGCCTGGCACCAGGGATCCTCATTTCCCGGCGCTTCATCCCCGAGCCGTTACCCCTAAGACTTCTGGGGCTGATAGTTACTTAAAGGATCATGGGACTCAGCAATTGGGGTTATAAGTTATAAGTACGGTAACTACAGTTATAATTAGGTATAACCCCAATTGAGGTACTTCTAACCCTACTTACTAAGTCCCATGATCCTCCAAGTAGGGACCCAAGCATAAGCATTTCATAGGGGTATACCTAGCTTTCTGGGCTTCATTTTAAGGGGTTGTGCATGGGATATCCCAATCCTGATTTTTGCTTATGTGTTTTTTGGGGCCCTAGATAAGTAGGATCAGCAACTTGAAAGCCCAGAGCCCGAAACTCTGAATTCGACGGTCGATGATGTAAATTCTGCCTTGCCTTACTGACCCTAGACTACGGGAGTTATGGTTTATTCCTTGTTATGGGTAATGCAGGATTTATATCATCCACCGTAGTTCCTTCTCCGGCGGACACAATTAAGGTTTAGGGTTTGGTGTTTATACAGGATGTACGCTTTTAGTTAGTTTAGTTTAGTTTATGTGGGAGACCTGCTGAAAGGCTGAATCCGTAATCCTATGTTCAAACCGCTCTAAACTATGAAGTCGTAGGCTCGCAGGGCCCTACTAAAGTACTAACGCATCCAGCCCTGACAAAGGAAATCATGTCACCAACCAGTGTGCATTGGACATCTAGTCTGTCCTGGACCCGAACAGTCAGTAAATCCCCACGTGCTACAAACCCGGTCATCCGAAGCCCTATAAACCCAAAGCCCGAAATGCCGAAGCCTTTGGTTTCCTCAGTCCTAGACTCTACCAAGGGGAACAAGAACTCTCGCAACCCTCCCGTGCAGGATCCCGCTGATGATGCAGCGTTCATCGTCCTGCAGCAGGCCGATGTGGAATGCCCAGGGGTTTGGGATGAAGGTTGTAGGCTTTCCCTAAGACCTAAGACTCCAAATAGCCCAAAGTAGGTACTATTTACAGACTTTAGACCCCACAGTAGGTAGTATTTGTATACTTGGAGTCTTAGGGTTTAGCTGTCTAGAGCTTCATTCGAGCATGGCATAAGAATGAGAGTTTAGGCTTCGAGATTGGTGTTTGGATCGTACCTTTGCCGTCGCTCGGGGTAGTGGCCCCGAGTGGCTTGGAACCCGATGCATAACCCTACCAGGACCCTTTGTAGCCTTCCTGTTTAGGGCTCGCTATTATGATTTTCTTATACAGGTCCTTACAAAGGGTATCGTAGGAAAGGAAGAGAGGCCTCAGGCAGAAATATGTGAGCTCAGGGGATTTGCTGTCGAAGGACATAGAAATCAACATTTCGTTTGCGAAGGAGATGTCTATGTCGGAGTGCATGCCACAACTGCCCACACCTTAGACTCAACAGCTTCAAGCCCCGAATTGTGTACAAAGTGTGAGTTGGCAGAAGTTTTTGGACGAAACAACTGCCTGCAGCATCGGTTCAGGGGGCAGAACATCGAGCAGCATGTTGTGCAAATGCAACGCAATCACCTATCCATCTACATATGTCGAATACATGCATACCCCGCCCCCTCCACGCGCACGCACACATCCCTATGCAGATATCGTTCTATGTCAGCTTCGAAACCTAGTTGTGGTGGGTGGTGATGCTTGGAAGCTGCTCGCAAGGCGGTGCCGGAGATCGAGCTTTTGCTGAGGGATTTTGGCTCATGTCAATTTAGCCGGTGAAGTTTGTAGGCTTCCGTGTACCGTCGGCCGACACCCATGCGTCATGATGAACTCGCAAGAAACATAGGCATAAAGTACTCAAGCAGACTGCCTATAGTTTATAGGGGTGCAAAGATGAACAAGTCACACAAGCATTCAGTATGGAAGCCTACTGGGCGTTACCATTTCCTTTTCACACATACCTCGTTAGATACTTTCTGCTTAGGTGCTTGGCAGAGCTTCTACAAGTAGTTTGAAATCCCTTGGCTTCGCCCCAAGCCCGAACCCAACAGGATATTAAGAGGGTTATGGCTCCGTATCAAGTGTTGAAAGTTTGGTGTTTCTGGGTTTCGAGGTTAAGGTCTGAGTTTCAGGATTTACAGTTTAAGGTTCGGGGCAAGGGACTTAGTAATTGGGCCTAATTGGGGTCATAAGTACGGTAAACTACAGTTGAAATTTACCTATAACCCCGATTGAGGTACTTATAACCCTACTTACTAAGTCCCATGATCCTCCAAGTAAGGCTCAGCCCTTCCTTCTGAAATATCAGCAGGTTCCTCCGAGCTTCGTGCTGGTGGAGTCCAGTGTTGATGTGGCTGTCCTTGCGTTAAGGTTTAGGTCCGGTATTTAGGGTTTAAGGCCCTGAAACTGTACCCTGAGTTTACTTTGTCATAGTTGTGTAACATTTTACATTTTTTGGGGTACTTGAACCCACTAAGGAATAAGATGTACATTTTTAATCCTATCCCAACAATGAAGTAGTTTACATGGACCGCGGACATGACTTAATCGTTGCTTTGCTGGCTTGTGTTAACACTGGGCTAGGCCAGGGAAACCGAAAGCCCCACAAGAAACCAAGTAACCGCACACCCACCGAGCCCAAAAGCCTTCGGCCAAGAGCCCCATGGAAAATGCCTGGGCCAAAACTCTGGTGCTGCGCTTGTCATGTAGATAGTGGCATCCCTACCAAAAAACTCCAGTAGAGTCCTTGCTTAAACCCCACACCCTAGACCCAGAGACTGCAATATCCCTTAATTTTAAGGAATATGTTCCTTAAATATTATTTATGATTTAAGGAATATATTCCTTAACTAATAAGGGATATTGGAGTCTCTGGGGACCCTAAACGCCCGACTGAAGGGTCCTGAAAGCTCTGGGCCCCCCCGACCTGAAAAGCTCGGGCTTCGCAGAGATCCCAATATCCATTAACTAAGGAATCTACCGTAAATCATAATATTAAGGCCCCTATAATTTAAGTTATATTCCAAAATTCAGGGGTCTTGGGTTCTGGTTCGCAAAGGCTTTTAGGCGGTTTAGGATGCGCTGCAGTGAGTTTGAGGTTTTAGGGTTTTGGGGTTGGAGTTGGTTGAAGGGTGTTGCCGTAGGGTTGAGGGTGCTAGGCTTAGGGATTTACGGGTTTAGTTTAGGGTTGGCATGTTTGGTTTAGGGTTGAGCTTGGCGTTTAGTGTAGATGTTTGGGCTCAGCAACCACTGCCAAGGACTTCGTGAAGGCGGACAAGGCTACGGACCACGGCTTGCTGCGCCAACTGCTACGAGCTGTGTGCGGATTTTTGGCCTCTTGGTTTAAGCATGGTTTGCTTGGCCGGCCGGTCTGAACCTTGAACCCTAAACTGTTACTGTGGCTTATAGGGCTCAGTACGTACTAAATGTTCTTATACTACAACGTTCCCCAGACCCCTGTTCCAAGTACTATGGTGGCACCCCTTAGCCCTGTTGACGATCAACTACTCTGCGTGAATGTGGGAGTTTCCGAAAATTGAGGGTACCTCATTTGGGGTCCTTATAATAAGGATCCTAATATTTGGGGTACTATATTAGGGTCCCCTATCTTCGGAAACTCCCATTATGTCGGGCCTGTTATCTCGGTGCCAAGGAGAGGTCTAGCACCCGAAAACTTTCAGTTCCGAGCATATAGTGGTAATGCTCGGAACACCGTCATCACGAATCAGGGACCCCCCCCCACCCTAAACCCTAAATCTTAAGCCTTAACAGGAAACCCTAGCTGCGAAGCGCTTGAGCCGGTGTTAGGCTTTAGGGTTTGCGGTTTTCGGGCTTGTCAAGTAGAATCTACCTGGTATCTGGATCACAAGGAATTTGTGGTAGGTTATGTAGTAATTAGGCGTTTATGTTCAGAGTTGACTAAACTTAGGGTTTAGGGAGGGAGCCTTAGCATGATTCAACATAGATATTGCCCAATTACCGGATCTTGTAGTTGGCTCTTTGGGAAGCAGGCAGGACAGTCAATATTTGGGCAGGCTGTGCTCCGTTACATAGTAGCTACCAACAGGTTGTGTGACAGTTGTGTGTCTGCGTATATGTATCTATGCATGCATGTACATGTGTATAGAAATAAGTGTGTCTTTGTATTCGTTTCTGCGTCTGTTTATGAACTTAAAGCTTTCCGGACCAGGGTTCGGGTCTAGGACGTTGTGTTCGTGGCCTGAACCGCAGCCCGAAACCCTTCCACTTAGTCGCTGCTGTCCTATGGTACAGTACCATTACATTACTTAAAGGATCGTGGGACTTAGTAATTGGTGTTATAAGTAAGGTATCTACAGATATCCCCAATTAAGGTACTTATAACCTTACTTACTAAGTCCCATGATCCTCCAAACAATTTGTCGCTCTCAGATGAAGAGTGACCTGGGCTGACCTAGACCCTGAATACCTTTCCCGAACCCTAAGCCCAATCATCTAGATTTTCAATCGGTTCGGATTACATAGTAATGATGTTTCTTTGACTTCGTTTTTGTAATCGTGATTGCAGCATTCTAACGAGTCAGACTCCAGCATTAGTCGTGGCCTACACTATGTAGCCTCCTCACCTACGAGGAACCAGTGGACGGGAGATCCCTCGTCCACAATGACTTGACAGAGGTGCCTCTGATGTATTGTCTAAGTGCTAAGCCTTACACAGTAACCCCAAACCCGAAACCTCAGACCCTTGCGTGGTTGTGCATCTAGTCTAAGTCGGGTAAAGTCAAGGAAGCCGGTGAAACTCCACAGCTGCTGAACAGGCGGCAAGACGTCCCTACCATTTTTCAAGACTTTAGGGTTTAGGGTTTAGGGTTTTAGGACTTATGGTTTTCGGATGTGGGATGTTTCTAGGTTGAGGTGTGGAGAGTGGTTTGTCGGGCCAGCAAAACAAGTAAGACAGAGTATTCCGTGGGGTTTCTTACTATGCTAGTTCGACAATGTATAACCCACAACCCTATTGATTGTCAAGGCCTTCAAGCTCGATATTCCGAAATTCTGATTAGATGTTCGAAGAATCTGTAGCATAAAGCCCTATGTTAACAGCTAGCCTGTAGCCAAGAGACCTGCACACTGTCGTGTTGCACATGAGTTGGTTGTTGAACCCTACCTGCAGTTTCCATTGTAGATCCTTTTGAACCACCTTGTGGGCTCCGGCATATAGAACCGGTTAAACCAGAAAACGAATTACAAAATATACGAGTACATGTAAACCCTAAACTCCGTGGTCGTTTCATGGCCTAGGCAGGCTTGGGACTAGCTGGGCTCTGTCGTCTTCGGCTTGGGGGCAACTTCGTTAAGGGGTTTAACCCCTTAGGGCTGCGGGGTTTGCTTGTTCGTTGGTGCGAGTTTGTGGGGTTTTCTGTTATTGGGGAGTCCCGGGCGTGGGGTGTTGGGCATTGGGTTTTGAGTTTTGGGCTCAAGCTTTTAGCACGTGCGATAGTTTGAGGCGGCTGTACGTAGTTTGAGGTGGCTGTACGTATAGGTTCTGCTCTTCTGTGGACTAGAGGGGCCTTGAATCTTAAACACTTGTTCTGGTTATCTTGTAAGTCTATGGAGTAAAGGCAGAGACATCATGGCGTGACTTTTGCCTTCGACCCCGTCAAGCAGCTTATGTTCATATGTTCTCCCAAATACTGACCTGTTGGGTCCTCTGGACCTTTTGGGTTACTGGAATGGGGCGCATGTGGCTGTGCGTGTTCCCCATTCCTGGCGCTTGCTGTTGGCCTGAGCCCCGCGCGGGGTCGAGCACAATTATTCATTAGCCCAACAAACAAACTCTAAAACATAACCTCCAACCCTAATTAAACCTGTTGTAGAGGCCTTAGGCGTCTGAGTACATGAGAGAAATAGGTATAATAGGTATCCGCACAGAATGGTACTATTAATGATTCAGGCCGCTGCATTACATCCTAAACCCGAAGCCTCTACCCCTAAACCCGAAATCCGTGGAAGCCCAGCTCCAAAGCAGCCCTCAACCCCTAAACCACAACACCCGAAATTTGTGGAGGCCCTAAACCCTACCTCTAAACCCTTAAACAACTAAAAGCCTCTAAACCCTAAGCCACTAAAGCCCGAAATCCTTGGAAGCCCGAACCTTCCGAGGCCAACATCATGTGGGATCCGAGCTCCATGCAGCTGACGATTATGGATTTCAGCCAGGCGGCTGAAGGGTCCCTTCAAGGGTTCCTGTTACTTCAAGGATCATGAGACTTAGTAAGTTTAAGTGGGGTTGTAAGTCAAGTAACTACAATTATAAGTATTTATAGCCCAATTAAGGTACTTATAACCCTTGCTAAGTCGCACCAACCTCCAGGTAGGGTTCCTTTAAGGGTTCTATAGGGGATCTAGAAAGGTTTGTGGGGTTTAGGGATTTAGGGTTTAGGGTTTGGGGGTTTACGGGTTTAGGGTCTAGGGGGGCTGAAGTTCCCCTGAAAACGGAAACCTTACACACACACGGTGTAGGGGTTTAGGGCTTAAGACTAACCCAGAGTCTCCAAAAAAAACCCTGAACAGAGGCAGGAAACTTAAGCTCAATGTGACTGAAGGCATACTTTGCTTAGCACGGAGATTCTGGAGTTTCTGCGTCCGGGTCATCCCCCCCCCCCCACACCTGAACTTTATATAGGGGGGGCCTTAAACACTACCTGTACTATTTGAGGGGGCCCCTTAGCATAACTATAGTGGAATGGGCCGCAAAACCCTCTTTCAATTATTAAGGCCCCTATATTACGTTTTAGCTCAAAGTGCCGTTTGGCCCCACATGCCCGCGCCGGGGAGCCTTGAACAACTTGCCTCCCGAGCCAGAACTTGCTACCGAAATCTTCTAGCACTAAAGGAACACGAGAGCCTTAAAGTATACCAAGACCATAGATCCCAAGCCCGAAACTCTACTTAACCCTACAACCCTAAAACACTAAGACACTCAAATTCACAACCCCCAAACATCCCAGAAATCACAAACCGCACAGATCTCAAACTGCAAAGATCATAGGGACCCCTTAGGGGGGGGGGTAGCGGGGAGCGGGGTGGGGCTTTAGTACCTACGAAAAGGATTTAATAAGGCCTATTGCGGAAGTATAGTCCCCTGCCCCCTCCCCTCTACCCCCCCGAAGGGTCATTATGGCTGGAATTCGATTTTAACTCCGGATTTAAATCAATTGTAACCCGAAGGTTTTGCTTGTCGAAGACGCCCAAGACAACCGATTTACATCGATTCTACTCCATTGTGGTCGTGTGTAATGTGGGGAGGCTTTAAATCCATGTTAAGCCGCCCCAAACTACTCAATTGCATGGGCTGGATTCAAGTCGATTTTAAGTCTCCAGGCACTACATCCGGATTGAAATCGATTTTAATCCGGTCTTTCGTCCGTCGCTTAAAACCGATTTAAATCTGGCTTTAGTGCCTGGAGGCTTCAAATCGATTCTAATCCGCTGCCGTGCTCCAGGGGGTTAAGATCAATTTTAATCCGCTTGCTGCGACCCTCTCCTTGGAATTGATTTTAATCCGTCTCATCCTCCGCCCGAAAATCGGATTAAAATCAATTTTAATCCAAGGCTCGCTACGCGAGGGGTGCAGGGTTGGTTGCACGGGTGGTCAGGGGGGGTGCAGAGGGTTGGGTGGGTTGGTTCAGAGGAGGGTGGTTGACAGGGAGGGAGTGGTTCAGAGGCAGGGGGGCGCCGGGGTGGTTCAGGCAGGGTGCACGGGTGTGCAGGTAGGGGGGGGTCGTCCAGGGGTCCAGGGGTGCAGGGGTGCTCCAGGGGTGCCCCAGCTCCACGGGTACAAGGGTGCAGGGGTGGTCCAGGGGGTCACTGAGCAACCGTGGTTGGCATGTGAATCTGAAGTTTAAATCGAATTCCAGCCATACCCTGTTCAATTTTTATGCAATGTCTGCTAGTTAGGATTAGGTTTCTAGGTTCTCAGTTTCTTCTGGATTGTGTGGCGAGTGCATGCTGAACCGATTCTCCGGTCATGGGTCCGAGACAAGGGCATCAGATATTTGGTCATGCTGTGGCGCCGCGACGACGCCATGGCAGCAAGCGGATCTCCAGCAGAGGATCAGGTGGTGCAGAGGCCTGTGCAAGGCCTGTTGCCTGTGGCAACAGCAGGCAGCCTGGCTGCTGTTTCCGATTCTAAGGCAACAGCAGGCCATCTTGCTGCTGCTTCTGACCCTGATGGTCCCTCTCGTCGCAGAAGTGGCCATAGCAGATACGACTGGGTGGAAGTGTGTCGTGAGCAGATTGATGAAGAGATAAGGCCTTCAGCAAAGCTCTGGCTTCGACAGCATGACATCTTGCACACGACCCTGCAGTGGAGCAGTGAGCGGCTGGAGATCGACTTTAATCCGTGCTCAAAAGCCTGTCTTCGACAGCCAACCCTTTCGGATTACAATTGATTTAAACCCGGAGTTAAAATTGAATTCCAGCCATACCCCCCGAAGGGTCCCTATGAAAACACCTTGAAGCTCAGCTGATCCCTTGTCAAGTCCCTTCCGTTTTGTTTTACGGGGGTTACTGTAAAAAGGTTTTTATAAAAGACTTTCTTAAAGGGTTCCTAAGATGGGTTCCTGCCTCGATCTTGTAAAAGGTGTTCCTAAGAAGGGTTCCTGTAACGGTCTATAGGATTTGGGACTTTTGGGGTTTGGGGCTGGGGTTTGAGGTTTAAGGTTGCACATAGGATGTAGGGTTTAGGGTTTATGATGTGGCGTTTGGGTTTAGTGTTGAGGGTCTACGATTTGAAGTTCAGGGTTTCGAGTCCAGGCTTAAGCGTTTAGGGTGTAGGGTTCAGGCCTTAAAAAAGCTTCTTGCGTATGGCCTCGGAGGCAAAGCGACATGCACGAATGCCTGAACTCTCAAAACGCGTTTTGGTGAGACATTCTCTCGAAACAGGGAACCACAGTACCCAAGATTCTATAGTCCCTTGTAGAACATGTATACGTATATAAGAACCCCAAATTCCCCAACGCCTCATCCCTATACCTTAACCGATCAACTTCAGATTTTTGAGAAACCTCGTCTTGTTTTTCAGGCAGAATTCTGCGGTGAGGTCGTTCGGGGCGCTCACGGCTGCCAGGTCCAAGCTGCCAGATCTTGAGGGTTTAGAGTTTATAGGGGTTACACCATAAACCCCTAACGGTTAGGGGGTTAGGGTTGAGGGTCAGGGGTTTCGGGTTTAGGGGTTTAGGGTTTAGGGGGGCCCACAAGATTAGTTAAAAGCAAGAGGATCTTACAACAAATGTTTACTATGGGGCCATTAATAACTAAGTCGAAGACTATTCCCTAGGATTCCTCGTTATGACTGTAGGTAGATGATACCCGAAGACCCCCGGTTGTTTTGTGGCTTCAGCAGCCAGACCCAAAGCCCCGGGAGGATCCAAAAAGTAGATCCGTTAATGGGGGTTCCTATAAAGTACCCTTAGTAGTATATGGCCAAAAAACTAGGGCATCTACTTTCTAGATCCTTTTGGGGGGTCTGGGGAGGAGTGCGGGATAAGGGAGCTTTGAGAGAGGATCCCGGCTCGCCAAGGCATTGAGGGCTTCGGAGAGTTGAGCTTGGGGTTCTTAGGGTTTAGGGTTCAGAGTTTCTGTTTTTTCGGTTTCGGCGTTGAGTTTTGGGATCTTCTTTCGGGGGTTACTGGAGTTTCACATTTGGGGTATTGAAATCTAAAACAAGTGCAGGGCGTGAGCATGCGGCCATGAGACAATCCAGAACATAAATCTTGTGTTGATGCATTGCATAAAGAATGAAGTCTAGCCCGAACCCAGCTTCAAATTCGAGTCACTTTCCGGCACATTGGTACAGCGATCGCCACAGCCGGATCTTGCCCCTTCTTAAAGAATCACGGGATTTAGTAAGTGGGGCTATAAGCAAGGTAATTGCAATTATGATTACTTATAACCCCAATTAAGGTACTGTACTTATAACCATACTTACTAAGTCCCATGATCCTCCAAGTGTTCATGATGATGGCGGAGTGCGGCCGCTCTTTGCAAGCAGCAAGGCCCACCATGAGCAGGTCGTTCCGTTTGCCCTGAGGACGAAATGAACCCCTAAAAGGGTTTAAGGTTCATATACCATATAATAATATAGGGACTCATAGCACATGGGTATAAGGCCCCTACTTTTTTAAGGTTCATACACCATATAGGGGTTCATAGTATAGTATATGGGTTTAAGGCCCCTACTTGAAGGTTCATATACCATCTAGGGATTCATAGTATATGGGTATAAGGCCTCTGCTGTTGAGGGTCATTTGGTAGTTCAGGTGTACATGGTATGGAGAAGGAAGTGCGCCCTGGCATTTTTCCTTAGATGGCTGCTGGCCAGGAGCTTCAGGCACTCTACATGCATGGAGGTGGCAAGCAACGGCGAGTCTGCACTCGGCACTGCCGGTCTCCTGCCTGTCCACGCTGTCGTGGGCAGAGCTCCGGTGGTCGCAGCCTCAAAGACTAAAGCAGCCTCAAAGAATGCTGAGGCTTGAGAGGTTAACTTTCTAGGCTTCCGGATAATACGTCGGCAGAGCACAACCCTACGCCCTCGCCCCTTGGCGTTCACACGAAGCAACAGCAAGTTCAGTAAAAAGATCCGCAACCTAATCAGGCCTGGAAAAGGTTGCAACCGCAAGAAAGAAAAGCGAGACTAAACCCTCGTCCCAAAACACCCAGACCCGAAACCCACCCCTCCGGCCCCAATAACACAGGAAAGTAAACCTGATACGGCCCTAAGCCCAGAACCCCTAAACTCTAAACTCTAAATCCTAAACTCTAAACCCTAAACCCTAAGCCGCCCCAGATCTCAAAAAGTTGCCTTAATCTGAAGACTTGGAAAACCAAAAGCCTGTGAAGGCCAAGCTGTTGCTGAAGGACATCACGAAGGATGCTGGGTTACTATAGGGGCCTAAATATGAATATTCCCCTATCCTATTTGTTAAGGCCCCTGTAGTATGCACCGTTATCAGACTGGAGGACATTACGAAGGATGCTGGGCTATCCGCAAGACTCCAAGTATACAAATAGTACCTACTTTGGGGACTAAAGTCTGCAAATACAACCTTGTGTCATAGGGTCGGTTGTTTTGTGTTCGACGCCATGGTTCTGGGTTTGGGGTCTAGGGTCTACAGTTGTATGTGGGGTTTCCAATTTAATTTAGGCATCTACACCCAGCCGCCACCAGAAACCCCTCAAGCCCTAAATCCATGATTTTTGAGCTCAAGCCGCAGACCACAACACACCATCAGTCCCTATCTTCAATGCACATGTTTAATGCAGAGGATTGAGTAGGCCCTAAGTTTCCTCATTCCACGAGCCTTAGTTATGTCATGTCCAGTGTCGAGGCCCTAGCTAATTATCAACATCAACGATTTCTTAGCGCCGCCCGAACTACATCTGACGATGATTTTTTATCCAAAACCCCGTTGTCCTGTCTGGTGCCTTGAGTGAACCATGAACATGTACCAATTATTGCTGAGGAAAAATCCGGTCAAACACATCGAAGGTTCCTGACGGCACGCCTGGTGGTAGCGTCAGAGAACATGCGAAGGTGCCCAACAAGGTTGCATGATGGTGGACATGTCGAGGTCAACTGGCCGTCCATCTCTAGCGGGACAATGCAGGAACCAGCTGTGACCGACCCCAAATTGCTCAGCGAGTTGAAGGCCACAATTGCCTTAAACATCCTAAGACCCTGCAGCCCTCAACCCTACGACTATGCCCTGCAAGCCTGAAACCCTAAACGACCGATAGCTCAAACCCTGTAGAAAGAACAGTAATATAGGGGCCTTAATAATTAGAATAGGGTTTTGGGGCCCATTCTACTATCTGGAGTTATAGCAAGGACCCCACAGAGAATAGTATAGGTAATTATTCAGGCCCCTATATTAAGCACCACGAAGGAGTTGATCATCTGGTCGCTGCGCACTGATCTCCATGGCAGCGCGGGGGAGACGACCTGCTCAAAGAGACCTGCCGGGTTACGGTTTAGGGGTGGGCTTAGGGTTTAGGGTTTTAGGGTTTCAGGGTTTAGGGCTTTCGGGTTCAATTAGGGTTTTAGGGTTTAGGGCTTAGTGTTTAGGGTTTTAGGGTTCAAGGTTTAGGGTTTAGGAGCTTAAAGCTTTGGGTTTAAGATTGGGCGAATTCCATGGGTTTCCATGAGGGATTCTTCAAGGGCTTTGTGTTCTTTCAGGGGTTGTATGAGGTTTGTTGAGTTGATTCACTTAACTTAAGAGCTCTGCGACTGTAGGAACTGGAATAGGGTTGCAACTGCATTACCTTCCCAAAGGGTCTAAGTATCATTATGGTATATACTTATAGGGTAGTTTGGGGTCTAAATATGTACCATAACAGTACTTGGACCCTTTGGGCTTATAGTCGGTCCTGCTATTCTTCTCGTACACTTTACTCGAAAGCCCATTCTCATTTGCTTAAGGGTTTTTGCGTTGATAGGTTTTGGCTTTTCAAAATTTTTGGAAGGATCGTTGGCGCCTCAGCCCTTATAATCATCTTTGCTGCCAAATAGCAGCCTACAGAACCATTATCCTAAACTCCAGTACATGTTTCGGTCATGTAGACACTTTGGGAGCCGTGGCAGTTCTTTCTATTCCAGAACGGTTGGTGATAAGGGCCAAATCGTTTCCTGGCCTTTTCAGCCTTTCAGGACCCTTTCAGGCGACTGGAAAAAGGAGCTCAAAAACAAATCCTGAACTGAAAGCACCCGTCAGGAGGGCCAAGAGAATCAATTTCGAGAAGAGGGAGGCAATGAGAGCGCACCTCTCCTGCACCCGAAGGTTTAGAGTCTTGGGTTGGGCTTGGGGATTCACTGTAGCCTCAGGCTCGTTCAGCTACTGCGCGAAATCAGCTGTTGTGTGTCACGAAGATCATGTTATTCAAGTTGTTCGGGTATATGTTGTGAGCATAGCACAGCAACATGCAAGTGTTGTGTTTGCTAGCATCGCGGATCGGTGATACGACTTCAGACGGCCAACCCAAGTTTGCAGTGCTGTATTGATTTGGAGCTCGTGCTGTTTACGATTCTGTTCTTAGTAGGGAATGGGGGAATGGATTTTGGGGACTACTATACAGGACCTTGAGGGAGCATCATAGGGATCTACAAGGGTATGGAGGAATGGGCTATGGGGACTATTATTTGGCATCATATAGAGGGAGACGCACGAAGGCAGGCCATGCCTTAAGTGTTCAAAAGTTTCTCGGCGGCTTTATGTGGGAGTTTCCGGAAACAGGGGGCCCTAATATAGTACCCTAAATAGTAGGATCCCTACTATAAGGAACCCATAATAAGGTACCCCTGATTTTCGGAATCTCCCATGTATCGAAATCATACCATGCAAGCAGTTTCCTTCTCTGCGGAAAGCCCCATCTCGATCTCCACATGCACAGCCTTGGAAAAGTAGACCCGACATGCTCAGTAGACTATAGACCCTAAACCCCTAAACCGCCCTTCACCCTGAATCCTAAGCCAAGTCGTTTCTCCGGGTTGAATCATCGTCAACCTGCATCTTCCACACCGTGACCTCGAATCCCTTCAGTATAGGGGGCCGCAGTAGTTCGACTAGGGGTTTGGGGTATATCTTGATAGAACTCTAATAGGAACCCTAAACCCTACTGTAAACCCTATAGATCCTCAGGACTTGAATTTCTTACGACATTACCGAAATTTGCGAAGTTAGAGCGTAGAGCTTGGAGCTTTAGGGCGGGGAGCTACTTGTCCGGGACAGCTTCCTGGCCACAACTACTCCTACTTGGAGGATCATGGCAAGTAGTAACTGGGGTTATAAGTGAGGTAGCTATAGTTATAATTCAGATTTAGGCCTTGTAGGGTGCAGGGAACCCTACTTGGAGGATCATGGGACTTAGTAAGTAGGGTTATAAGTACCTTAATTGGGGTTATAAATAACCCTAACTGTAGTTGCAGTACCTTACTTATAACCCCACTTACTAAGTCCCATGATCCTCCAAGAACTACTCCTACGGTTGATGGTATAAAAATCCTGCATTACCCATAATAAGGAGTATACCATATTTCCCATCGTTTCGGGTCCTTAAGGTAATGCAGGATTTATATCATCAACCGTACCCCTTCAGATCTAGGCCTTCGAGGGCTCAGGGAACCCTAAATATGCCCTCAACCCTGAGTCATCCGAATCTTGCTTGACCCTATAACCCTCTAAACTTAAGCCGAAATCCTACACCCCAAAACCCTAGAGACCCTATAACACTCTGTAAGCCCTTGACCCTAAGCCCTAGAGACCCTAACTTGACCTTAGGGCATCTTGGTTCTTCCCCCAAGGGTCCAAGTGCCCAATAACCTAATATACTCTCCAAAATCCCAACCTGCACAACTACCATCCTAAAACCGAGTACCCAATTATTGGGTCCTTTGGACGCTTAGGGTCAGGGCTTTTCCCTGCGCATCAAAATAGCCCAAAAGCCTTATATGATATGGTCTTTGGGCCCAAAAGCCTTAGTATATGAGTCCTTAGATGGCTAGGATTATAGATCCCTTTAAAGGATCCCTTATAGATCCCTTTAAAGGACCCCTTATAGATCCCTTTAAAGGAACCCTATATGAGTCCTTAGATGTTTAGGGCTTTTTGGGCTCTTCGATCTCTGAGGCCGGCATCTGCCTTCGTTGCAAAGAAGCTAGGCCTGCCCTCCGGTCTTCAATAGCTTCGGGAGGGTTTCAGGGTTTAGGGGGTTTAAGGGTTCAAGGGTTAGGGTACAGGGGTTTAGGGTTTGAGGGTCTAAAGGATTCAGGGTTTGGGGGTTGAGGGTTCGGTTTAGGCTTAGGATGTAGGTTTAAGGTTCAAGGCTTTTGGGTCTCGGTCTAAAGGGGGTTTATAGGGTTGGGAGTTGGGAGTCGCTTAAAGCCAAGCCTTAGGTCGCCAAGAGCATGTGGGAGTTTCCGAAAATAGGGCGTACCTTATTTGGGGGTCCTTATAATAAGGATCCTACTATTTAGGGTACTATATTAGGGTCTCCTATTTTCGGAAACTCCCATGTCGAGGCATTTTCAATCGGGCTCGTAACTAGTTGCTTACCTTCAGGCTCCAAAGAGAGCTTTATGAGGCAGGGTTCAGGGTCTGGGCTTTGTAGCTTCGGTAAGGTTCGGAATCAAGGCTTTTGGGGGTTGAAGTTGGCTCTATATAGGTATCCAGACTCTTTATAGTCGTCCGTTTCGAGGGCTGACCTATATTACGGATAGGATCCTGCACGAAGACAAGGTGTTCTTCTGAAACTAATTAAGCCCTACACCCTAGACTCCCCAACTACCTAAAAGCCGTAAACCCTAACGTTTAACACCCTAAAGCCCTAAACCCTAAACTCCCCAACTACCTCAAACCCTAAACCCTAAAACAGCCTAAACCCTAAACTCCCCAACTATCTAAAACGCCAACACCCCACCACCCTAAAGCCCTAAACCCTAAACTCCCGACTTAAATAGTTCAACCCTGATTCCTGGTACCTCCATCCTATTGGGGAGGAAGGACCTAATAAGGCCTATTCAAGGAAGTATAGTCCCCCACCTGCCTCCCCCCTCAACCCTAAACCCCTAAACCCTAAACCCTAAACCCTAAACCCCTAAACCCTAAACCCCTAAACCCCTAAACCTCCTCCCCCTTACCCCCCCCAAAGGGCCCCTATGACTCCAGGAGATTGTTCTGGGCGCGTCGATGCCTGGACCTGGTCACTGCTGTGCCCTGGGATGACCATGGACCCAAAGGGTTTCATTTAAGGGACCCCTATGGTTTCCTTTAACGAACTAGGATGCCCAGTAGTACCCTTATTCCCTTTTTGTAGTCCTAGGTTCCTTATAAAGTTACCCAATACCAAAAAGAGAGGCCTTTTTATTCTTAGGTTACTGGGTATCCTAGAGAATCTATAAAGTTTAGGGTTTAGGGGACAAAGGGATCCTGCTATAGTTGAGGGTATATCCGGACCCAAAGGGTTTCCTTTAAGGGATCAAAAAGGTTTAAACGGATCCCATAAGGGTTCCTTTAGATCCCCTGAATGGTCATATTAGGATCCCTAGGGGTGCTTAGAAATATTTCGGACCCCTAGGGGTGCTTAGAAATACTTCGGATCCCTAGGGGGGGCTTAGAAATACTGGTTTAAACCATTTGATGATTATAATCCCTAAGAAACAGCCGAAATTGAGATTTGTGCTAGGGGTCTAAGTTCAGTATAGTTTTTCAGGGATCTATAAGGTTGAGGGTTTAGGGGACTCCAATAATTAGGCATGCTGCTATAGTTTAGGGTACATTCCTTAATTATCAAGGAATATACTCTAAACTATAACGTGATCCTTAATTCAGGGATATTGGAGTCTCTGGGGAGGGTGTCGGACTTCCTACATTCCTGTATCAACAGACCCATTAGGCCCCAGACTCAGAAACCTCAAACCCTAGAAGCCCTATAGCCCTAAAAGTAACAACATGAACCCTTGTGGGACAAGGCTTGGTGAGTTGAAAGCCCAGGATTGCGGGGGTTAGGATTCGTTTTTTTAAAGGTCTGGAGGCACGACCTCGCCTCAATCTCAAGTAGCGTTGGGTTCAGGGTCCAGGGTTTGTGTGCAGATTTTGTTTCAGGATTCGATGGCCTCGTACCCCCCCAAGATCCTTCAAGTCTTGAGTCCTGAAACCCAAGCCTGCAGCCCTCAGAACTTTAAAACCCTGAACCCTAAGGCTCAAAATAGCCCAAAAGCCTTATTATATAGTGTGTCATCTGTATCCAAAAGCCTTGAAATATGAGTCCTTAGAGCCCTAGGGCAAGTGATCCTGCCAGGAACCCGCGCAAACGTAAGGCTCAACAAAGCCCACTGAGGGACTGGGTTGGTGCTGTCGATGCAGAGATTGCCAGACAACTTGCCGGACCCCTCGCGGGATCGGTTCTGAGTCTTGGGTTTGGGGGGCTACGGAGCAGGCTTGGCTGAACCGATTGTTGCAGATACTGCTGTTTCGTTGAGGTCACAGGGGACATACTCCTAAACCTCTATACGAAACCTTGAAACCCGAGGCCCTAAATCGTAATAACAAAACCCTACTAAACCACAACCGGTAGTTAACAGCAAAGACAACAAAAGGAGCCTTCCACCCAACAGAACCCTGTTGAACCTTTATAAAGACCCTCACTTCTGGTAACCCTCCTCGGAACCCGAACAAACCCCAAACCCCAAAACCCACCTTCCATAAAAGAAAAAGCCTAAGCCCTAAACCCCTAAATCCTAAACCCTAAAAGCTAAACCCCAAAAAACTAAACCCCAAACTCTAAAACCTAAGCGCTGCACCCTAAAACCCTAAACCCTAAGCTCATCAAAAGGAAAAGGTCCCATAAACACAAAAAGAATTCATCAAGCGTAGCACAAGCTCGTCGCAGGAGCGCCCTCGCTGCCCGTGGCTTCGCTCTTCCGAAGCTCCCTCGATGCAGGAGCCAGCTTTGCCTTTGGGGGTTTGGGTTTAATAACCGAATTACAATCCCAGAGCCCTACCAAGTCTCAAAGGTCCTTAAAGCAAAGGGGAAAAGGAGGGACCCCTACCCTATAATAATAGCTATATACCTAGGGGTCCTTATTAAGGGTCCCTCCTTTTACCCTTGGATTAAAGCCTAAAGGCCTGAAGGCTTTAACACCAGGACCAGGTAGGGCTCATTTTGGGGCATTTAGTAATGTTTAGGGCTGGTGTTGTTGGTTGGAGGTATTGTTTTTTTTTTTCTGTTTGCAGGGTTCTATGTTCTTTGGTGAACCAGTGTGATAAAAGTAGCGAGCTTTAGCTGGGACAGTTTGTGCCAAACTCAATGTTTTGGTCAAAGTGTTCCTTATCGGTGTTCTTTCTTTGGTTTGAGATGTGGGGCTTGGCTTTTCTGCTGTTTCGGGTGTTTAGCTGAGTAGGCAGCCTGAAGCTGTTTTCGGAGTCATCTTGTTTGGGTTAGGGGACTGAGCAACTCCTGGTTCTATGAACCCTACACCCTAAACCCTAAATGAATCCTTAGGGCTCCGTTTGTTTGGCTTTGGACACAGTCACAGGGCTGTGGGAACTAGGGCAACCTTAAACCCCCAATCCCGTAGAACTCTGTCTTCAGGTCCCTTTCATGGCTTTTCGGGTTCCGATCCTCCCCAACCCTAGCAACTCCGAAGTCCTTCAGTCGACTATCTTGGCAATATAGAGGCCAAAAATAATTACCTATACTCTTTTGAAGGTTCCTTACTAAAATTATAGTATGATGGGCCCCAAAACCCTGTTCGAATCAGAAAGGCCCCTATATTGGTTCTGTCAGAGTCCTCGCGAGGCTCTACAACCCTCATGGTACCCTTATGGAACCCTTCAAGGAACCCTTTTGGTAAACCCTAGACCCTAAACCTTAACCGTCCCTTAAAGGAAGCCTTATAAAGACCCCAAGGGTTTACTGGAGCTTTATAAGGCTTAAACAAGGGTTCTACGAGGGCTCCAAAACAGGGGCTACCAGGTTTCTATCAGGGCTCCATTAGGATTCGCTGAGGTTTCGGGACTCTGGGTCAGGGCTAAACCCCCAAACCTAATTAAACTGAACAGCTGAACCCTGGACTAAGGGCCTAAACCCTACACCCTAAACCGTTTAGTCTTGTTTAGCCTGTATAGGGCGCATGTCGGAGTTGCGGGGGTAAGCCCTGATTACCCCCCCCCCAAAGCAATACTCGGGTCTGCACAATCAGCAATGATGTCTCGTAGTCCCAGAATACGTGTATGGGCTATACTCAAACATACCCCCCTCCAAACCCTACTTAAAAATGTTCACGCCCCGTCCCTAAACCTTAAACCCAGACTGCTGAAACTCGAAGCCCGGATCCACGCAGGGGGCGGGGGCCCCTAAACCTTAAACCTGGACTGCTTAAACTCGACGCCCTGAGCCATGCAGGGGACGAAGAGCCCGCCTGGAGTCTGGCACGATTGAGATCGTTGGCTTCCTGACATGTGGAGGCGTTCTCCTTGGGTCCAAATGAGCGGAGGGGGTTTCCATGGAGGGGCAGGGGACGTAGTAAGTAGGTGAAAAGTAGGGTTATAACTGGGGTAACTCCATTTAGGCTACTTCTTACTCTACTTATAATCTACTCACTAAGTCCCCTGCCCCTCCAAGTAGGGTTTGGGGTCCTTAACGGGGATTTGGTGTTCTGGAGGTTCCGGGTCCCTTTATGATCAAAGCAGTTTGTTGGTGCATATCTTCGCGTAGCTATACAGGGACTGTGACGAGAATGTTACTAAAGCGGATGTTGATACGGGATTATTCATCGTGTCGGCATACACTTTAAGATTTGCGACTCTAATCCCGTCCATCACGGTGGTTAGTTATATGAGGTGTATGTACCAACACATCCATCACTGCTGTTACTTTTATGTGATCCTGGTGGGTCCACTCTGTCATTACTACCACATCCACCATGTTGATTACTGTACATACAAACACAGCCGTCAGGGTGGCTGCATACCGGCACATCCATTATGGTGCTTGGCCTTCAGAGTGTGAGGTGTTCGGAGGCTGCAGCAAATGTTCTCGTCGGATCAGGCACATCAGCCATCTCAGCGAGATCTTTCATGTTTCGTACCGCCACCCATGATGTCCTGTGCAGTTTCCCAGTATCAAACCCTTGCATTGAAGGAACCCTACTCTAAGTCTCAAGGCCCCTGTATTACCGATTTACTGCCGACCGATTGAGTCCGAACAGAACGAGTGCGGGCTGCGTGATGCCTCCCCACGAAAACCACTAAAAGCCGCCAAAAACCTGCAAGGCCCTTTCAAGGCGGCTGCAGCGCGCACGATGAGGAGATTCTTCCGAAGGCCTGCTGCTATGGAGATTATCGAATATAGGTTAATTAGAACAGGGTGTTGACAGTTTCTTGACAGTGTAAATTTCCATGATAATAATTAAAAGGAGCCCTAAGGAATCGTTGAGTTTCGGGTTCAGGTTTTAGGGTCGTGTTGTTGACAGTCCTTGTAGGGTCGGCTTCAGAGCGGCTAGGTGCTGTTCAGAAGTGGGTAATTCTCTGTGTGTGTGTGTGTGTGAGCACTTCCGCTGCTTTTCGGTGGAATTTGTCCCAAAGGGTCCTAAGTACCTACGCAGCAGAAAGTAAGTGTCCATTCCAGGATTGAGAACCTCCTCGAGCCCCGAAGTTGCATAGTCATTGAACCCCCATTTGTAATGCACGCCCGGCTGTCCACAGTACTAAAAAGTATCAAAACCGCAACTCTCAATTCCCCGGCCTGAAGCCCTTGACGTAAAACCTTAATTGAAAGCCCTGAAGCATGTATCCTCTAAAAATGAGGCTCAAGATAGCACAAATCGACTTAATCCCTGAACACGCATAACTATCAAGGCCTTTTACCAAAACCTCATAACATTCCCCTAAAGCCTGCATACACTAAACCTTCGCTAGTTTTCGACGCCAAGGCCCCCTCCTCGGCATGGACATCGGAGGCTGGAGTTTGGAAGCCACCCGGAGAGCTCCGGTTGAGGGTTTCCAGTTTCCGGTCGAGTGTGTCTTTCGATGGAAGCCTGTCAGTGCGACGTCGTCCGCCGTAACATTCATGGTGACATGCAATCAGAACTGCTAGGATTTGCAGGATACAAGCAAGATCAGCGCACGGGTCCGCGGTGAAGATTTGGATTCTAGATCGTGCAGAAGAGGGCCCATTGCCAATCCAGAAGAGTCTTCCGATGGAAGTTTGCAGGTCCATCACATGACCAGCGACGGCATGGTGGCACGCTGCGCCAGTGGAGGGCCAAGAACCCAGCAGTACCCATCCAGGAAGATCGAAAGGAATGATATTTTCCAGATCAGTGCAAACTGAAACTTTAACTGCGCAACCACGCTTGTTGCAGTCTAGCAGTGCTATGTCGCCCTCGTCGTGCGTGAGGGCCGATGACCTTGTCGTGGCTTCCAGAAAGATCAGAGAGAATTATACCTTTGCCGGATCGCGCAAACAGAAGCGGCTGGCAGAGGGCTCTGCCTCGTGCAGCGACGGCATCGTGGCACCCTGCTGTCACGGATCGCCGTGAAGCCGGCAGTGCACAGCCAGAAAGATCACAAGGAAGTATACCTTTCCAGATCAGCGCAAACTGAAGAAGGCTTGGCCTAGTGGTCAGGCCTCGAGCTGTATTGCAGTCGTTTGTCGCACTGCTCGTGTGTGAGGACCCCGCGACGTCCGGAGTCGCTGAAGGCATCGACCCTGCGACGTCGGGGCGATCGCTGGAGGCACCGACCCCGCGACGTCTGGAAGTGAACGGGCTGGTGTTCATTGCAGCTCATTTAGCTGGGGCCAAGTGCCACTAGGGGCCAAGTGCCAGCCAGGACCTCGCCTTCTGTTGGCGATGAGCGCTTCTATGTTTGCTCGGAGCCGCCGAGCACGACGCACGGGGGCGATATCATGTTCATTGTTCCGGAGGTGGAAGGGGAGAATAAGGTCTGTCATGTGGTGTATGAGGGCCGTGTGAACAATGGCGAGTTGGAGCAGCGCGCACCAGTGTTTCGCGCTGAAGCCAACTTTTGGGAGGTTGGCGATCATGAGTGGGAGACCAATCGCCTGGAGAGCCGTGCCAATTATGAGGACCCTTGGCAAGAGCCGCAGTGGCAAGCTTCCGGCTGGACGGTTCGCACGCAGCATGGGCTTTAATGGCTTTTGGGCCAGGAGAGTTGCTGTGCCGCGAACCATCATTGGGACTCAACTGTTTTTGAGCGGGGCTGTCTGGATGGGCCGGCGAAAATTTATATATGTGATTGACCACAGGGCCAAGTGCCAGGTCATCATTGCTTTATAGCAGGGGCCAAGTGGTAGGACATAGCGGCCAAGCTGTCGTGGCTTCCAGAAAGATCAGAGAGAATTATACCTTTGCCGGATCGCGCAAACAGAAGCGGCTGGCAGAGGGCTCTGCCTCGTGCAGCGACGGCATCGTGGCACCCTGCTGTCACGGATCGCCGTGAAGCCGGCAGTGCACAGCCAGAAAGATCACAACGAAGTATACCTTTCCGGATCAGCGCAAACTGACGAAGGCTTGGCCTAGCGGTCAGGCCTCGTGCTGTATTGCAGTCGTTTGTCGCCCTGCTCGTGTGTGAGGACCCCGCGACGTCCGGAGTCGCTGAAGGCATCGACCCTGCGACGTCGGCAATCGCTGGAGGCGCCGACCCCGCGACGTCTGGAAGTGAACGGGCTGGTGTTCATTGCAGCTCATTTAGCTGGGGCCAAGTGCCACGAGGGGCCAAGTGCCAGCCAGGACCTCGCCTGGAGAATCGCACATGTGTTACTATTCTTGCTGGGCAAAGTTTATATATGTGATTGACCGCAGGGCCAAGTGCCAGGTCATATTGCTTTATGGCAGGGGCCAAGTGGTAGGACATAGCGGCCAAGCTGTCGTGGCTTCCAGAATGACCAGAGAGAATTATACCTTTGCCGTATCGCGCAAACAGAAGCGGCTGGCAGAGGGCTCTGCCTCGTGCAGCGACGGCATCGTGGCACCCTGCTGTCACGGATCGCCGTGAAGCCGGCAGTGCACAGCCAGAAAGATCACAACGAAGTATACCTTTCCGGATCAGCGCAAGCTGACGAAGGCTTGGCCTAGCGGTCAGGCCTCGTGCTGTATTGCAGTCGTTTTGTCGCCCTGCTCGTGTGTGAGGACCCCGCGACGTCCGGAGTCGCTGAAGGCATCGACCCTGCGACGTCGGGGCGATCGCTGGAGGCATCGACCCCGCGACGTCTGGAAGTGAACGGGCTGGTGTTCATTGCAGCTCATTTAGCTGGGGCCAAGTGCCACTAGGGGCCAAGTGCCAGCCAGGACCTCGCCTGGAGAATCGCGCATGTGTTACTATTCTTGCTGGGCAAATTTTATATATGTGATTGACCACAGGGCCAAGTGCCAGGTCATATTGCTTTATAGCAGGGGCCAAGTGGTAGGACATAGCGGCCAAGCTGTCGTGGCTTCCAGAAAGATCAGAGAGAATTATACCTTTGCCGGATCGCGCAAACAGAAGCGGCTGGCAGAGGGCGCTGCCTCGTGCAGCGACGGCATCGTGGCCCTACCATCACGGATCGCCGTGAAGCCGGCAGTGCACAGCCAGAAAGATCACAAGGAAGTATACCTTTCCAGATCAGCGCAAACTGAAGAAGGCTTGGCCTAGTGGTCAGGCCTCGTGCTGTATTGCAGTCGTTTGTCGCCCTGCTCGTGTGTGAGGACCCCGCGACGTCCGGAGTCGCTGAAGGCATCGACCCTGCGACGTCGGCGATCGCTGGAGGCACCGACCCCGCGACGTCTGGAAGTGAACGGGCTGGTGTTCATTGCAGCTCATTTAGCTGGGGCCAAGTGCCAGCCAGGACCTCGCCTTCTGTTGGCGATGAGCGCTTCTATGTTTGCTCGGAGCCGCCGAGCACGACGCACGGGGGCGACATCATGTTCATTATTCTGGAGGTGGAAGGGGAGAATAAGGTCTGGCATGTGGCGTATGAGGGCCGTGTGAACAATGGCGAGTTGGAGCAGCGCGCACCAGTGTTTCGCGCTGAAGCCAACTTTTGGGAGGTTGGCGATCATGAGTGGGAGACCAATCGCCTGGAGAGCCGTGCCAATTATGAGGACCCTTGGCAAGAGCCGCAGTGGCAAGCTTCCGGCTGGACGGTTCGCACGCAGCATGGGCTTTAATGGCTTTTGGGCCAGGAGAGCTGCTGTGCCGCGAACCATCATTGGGACTCAACTGTTTTTGAGCGGGGCTGTCTGGATGGGCCGGCGAAAATTTATATATGTGATTGACCACAGGGCCAAGTGCCAGGTCATCATTGCTTTATAGCAGGGGCCAAGTGGTAGGACATAGCGGCCAAGCTGTCGTGGCTTCCAGAAAGATCAGAGAGAATTATACCTTTGCCGGATCGCTCAAACAGAAGCGGCTGGCAGAGGGCGCTGCCTCGTGCAGCGACGGCATCGTGGCCCTGC